TTCAATTTTGGTTTGTAAGTCCTTTTGATCCAAGAGTTGTTCAAGTGAGATTATGTTTTTAAGTGTCCAAACTTAAGTATCTTCTAGTTCTTTGAATTTTTCTATTAATTTATCACTTTGTTGTGTCTCACGAATAGAAAAAAGTCTATACCATTTCTACTTTAAAATTTTTTTAAAATTTTCTCTGTGGCCTAGTATGTAGTCTGCTTTTTTGGAAGTTTCATGAGTACTTAAAGAGACAACATATTTTCAAGATAAACATATTTTCAGGATAAAAAGTCTGATATAAATAAATCAATTTTCTTTATTAACTTATTTAGTTTTTCTATGTATCTACTTCTGTTTTTCCACTTATTCTTCCATAAGTCAAGAAAAGTAAATTCAAATTTCTTTCTACTACTGTTTTTGTGTATTTCTCCTTCTATGTTTCATGATTTATGCTTTACTTGTTATCGTCATATATCTTACATGTAGTCATAACTGCAAAAATCGTTCTGGAGAATTGTACTCATAGTTTAAAGCTTCTTTCTTATTTAATTCAATGCTTCTTTGTCTAAGTTTCACTTTTATTAAAATTGTGACCTCTGGTTTTCATGTCCTTGTATTTGCTCAATTTAACTATGCCTATATATTTTTTAAAATTTTTATTTAGTTATTTTTCAAGTACAGTTTTCTGTGTATTTTATTTATTTATCTTTAGAGGGGAAGGGCAGAAGAGAGGGAGAGAAATATCAATGTATGGTTGCCTCTCCTGTGTCCCCTGCTGGGAACTGGCCCACAACCCAGGCATGTGCCCTGACTGGGAATTGAACTTCGATTATCTGGTTCACAGGCCCGTGCTCAATCCACTGAGCTATACTAGCCAGGGATAAGTTTCAATTCTTTTAAAATTACTTTAGTTGAGTTTTACATAAAATATAGTGTTCTGCAAAATTTTACTTCCAAATATGATTTTTTTGATAGTATTAAGATAAACTCATTTATTGATATAATGAAGATATTTTCTTCTCTATTTTTACTGTTTTATGTTATTAAGGAAACATAACATTTTTGTTTTTATAATTTTTAAAGGGAGTTTTCTACTAAGTAATTTGTTTTTATTTTTATATACTTGTGATAGTCAGGAAAGCTTTTACCTTTCATCTAGTGATTACTTTTATTTAATATTTTTAGGCTTTTATTTCTCTTGATAAAATTCATTTCCTAATAGAAGCAAAGATAAAATTAGTGTGCATAATCTTTCACATTCAACTTTTATCTACCACTCTATTATATTCAATGTTGTGACCTTCCTTAGCTAATGCTAATATCGCATATGCAAAGATTTTTTATTCCTTGATTTGTTAGATTTCAGCAATGTCTTCTGATGCCCAGAAATGAAGCAATTAGAGAAATTCCTCTAAGTCTCATTTTCTTTTTATCTTTTCCTTCCCACATAACCCACAAGTAAAAGGCTAAGATAAGTTTATAATTAAAAACATGAGATTATATAATATAACAAAATGCATCCTATTTTAAAGCTTTCAAATCAAAGTTTCAAAACCAACTTAATCCATGTAATAACGTCAAAGCAGTCCTAGCCCTTCACTTCTTGTCTTTTCATATCATTAGAATTTAAACTGAAAACCTGGGTAACCTACTTCAACCTACAGATGATCTGTGCTCTGCCAGAGTGAGGAGCTGGAACATGAACCAGAGAGATCTTGCCAACAAGACTGGCTGGCTTCAAGTTCCCCTTTTAATGAACATTTCAAATTGGAGGTAGTGATGTGAAGTCATGATTGAAAGCTCCTGTTTGCAATCATTTGTAATTATCTATGGCATTTAAACATGTTCATTAATTTTTCTTTTGACCCTGACAAGATCATGGTCTTTGATCATGCTCTGGTCCATTATCTATGCTATTGTTTCTGCACTTTGACAAAAATCTATCTTCTGTGTGTTGGAGTTTTGCACTGGTGGAGGAGGAATAGTTTTATTTTTGTGTGGAGGTATTATTTGGCATGGAGCATATGAATCTGGGTAGGGTATAGATGATCATGTCATTAGAGAGTTAAAGAATATATAAGATAAAATCCAGAAACTTTCTGGTTAATGCCTTTGTTGAGTCAAGTGTCCATAATATTTAATGTAATAATTTGTAGACTTTTTTTTCAGGTGATATTTCAGGAGAATTCTTGTGTTTGGGAGGCATTGGACTCCTTGTGCCAGGATTTTTCCGTATGAACTGGTCAGTGTGGGAGGAGTAGCATGATTTTGGATTTGGGTTTCTTCTCTCAGGTCCTTTTAATAAAAACAAGCTACCATGGTGGAGAATATCCATGTGTCTTCTGTTGTTGTTCTTTCTGTCTTCAATCATTGATTCAGGAAGTATTTATAGAGCATCTAGAGTAGGTTAGACACTGTGCTAAGCTCTGGGGATGCAATGGTGAGCCATACGTATGTGGATTATGCCTTTGTAGGTATCTCGTCACAAGATAGGGGCATAAAGCAAGGGCCACTGACATGAGATCTGAAAGGTGCAATAAAGGGGGGAGAAGGTGGAATAGGAGTCAGGTGGTCCAGGCAGACAAAATTGCATCTGTGAGGTAGTAAGGAACTAAAAAGACAAGAATCAAGATGGGAAGGGGCCTGGCATTAGACTGAGAGGGGAAACTGGTGGGTGCTTGGATTATGCCATCATAAGGAATTTGGTCTAGTCTAAGGGCAGGAACAGCCACCTAATTTGTGAGTCTCAGTGAAACAAACATTCAAAACAAAAATGTAAGGTCCCTTTTACCAAAATTATTAATAATTTCAAGATAGTGACAACAGAGTGTTGAACAAGTACAGGACAGTTCTAAGCACTGTGCCTTGTGTGACTGCACAGGTCACAGGCCAATGGCATCAGCACTAAGGGCAATGGAAGCCAAGGAAAATGTTAAGTAGAACAGAGAAATAATAGGATGGGCACTTGAGAAAAGACATTTTTTCTATTGTTCTACCAAGGCTTGTTTACTTAGTGAGTCAGGGCAAAGGAATATTAATATCTTCCAGACCCAGTATTACAAATCGTTACTAATATGATATTTATTCATAATGTGCCTGGATACATGGGTACCCAGAATCCATTCTCCATATTTATTAGTAAGGGTAGTAAAATGGCGAAGTCTTAGATTTTTGCTAAGGTCATCCTATGTAAACTAGTATTTTAATATACTTGAATAATTTAATCTTGTAATAATTGAACAACATAATCTCAGAATTGCAGCTGACAAGAACAGCTTTGGAAACAATTGTGCTTCTTGTGTGGAATCAGCTGAAATCCCATGATGAACATACTAAGAGTTCAGAAATGCAAAAAGAAACGATTTTAAAAATATAAGGAACAGCTTTCTGTTAATCCTTGTTTGTTGTAATGATTTGCATGTTCTGCTTAGATGGCTCTGTTGTTTTAAGATAATAGACTGTACTTCATATGCAGCCTGAATCTAAAAATATTAAGATTCAAATATTGTACTGAATCATAATTGCCAAAACAAATCATGAATATTATATAATGTAGTTGAAAATCAACTCAAAAAAGAATTTTCAAAAAGCCAATAAAGCCATTGTTTTTACAATAATAATCTTGTTTTTTTTGTGTGCTACATATATACATTTCAGAACATGCTACTAGGGAGTAATACTATAAGCAGTGTTAAAAATTTGATAGTGAGCCACATTATTTTGAAACACAGAGAAACAATTTTTATGAAGGACTTTAAAGAGAAAATAGAGGTCAACCTAGTACCTTTTAAAAGTCTGACATCTCTAGAGATGTGCAATTTTATGTGTTTTATCATTTGTTTTTGAGCTTATAAACATTGATTTTAAAAGTACTCCCCAGTAATAGTATTTTTAAAAAAGAAGATATTAGATATTTGGGAATTATGACAATAAAAACAAAAATTTTTATCATTATTTTTAAATATGTGCTATAGAATATAAGAAATTGCTTTAATTTTTAATATTTTTGTGGTTTGGTTTTATGAAAAAGTATCTTAGTGATGTGGGGGGAATGAAAGAGGCACAATTCTTATATATTAATTTAGGATTTTTGAGCACAGAGCAACATACAGTGAGGAAGTAGGGACCTTGTTTTAAAGTTATTTTCAGTCTGACAGAAACAAGGCAGACATAAACATAAATATACAACTTAATATACAATTATACTATACAATCTGATCTGGCTGTACAGAACTGCACACATAATGGGTAAGTAGCTAGAATGTCAGATACAAGCAGAGGTGATAAACAGATGGTACTAATCCTAAGGTAGAGAATCAGAAGGTAGATTGAATAAAATAAAGATGGATGCCTACACATTGTGGGTTTGCAAATCCTATGTGACATAAAGACCAGGATTAGTATTGGAAGGTGTGGGCAATGGAATCATATTACAAATGCTTAAAATTGATAGGACATTAAAGAAAAGTCTATGTTCATCTAAAATAAATGATAGAAAAGTTACTTAGAATTTACACACATTTTGCAGAATAAGGTGAATAGTTGTGCTGGGCTACTGTGGGGTACTAGTAATGAAAGACTTCATGAGGTAGGTGGAGTAATTGTGGAGCCTTAAAATAAGAGTGAAACCACTAGATGGTTCATGATGATGAGTGTTACTGCCTATTTTGTGTTGCTTCCTAAGATGTTGAGGAAACCGAAAGATCTAGCTACAGGGGAAATCAGGGACTTTGCTTCTGACGTGAAATTCCATCTCAGTGCACAATTAATTGAAATGAGTTCATAATATTATACTGTGTAGTTATTATAATTGAGCAAACACATCTGGGTGTAATATAAATTAAAGAATATATTATAAAACTTTGAAAATGGTTAGAAAAGACTCTTAAATCCTCACTCTTAAAAAGAAATTTTAATTCACAAATTGAAAAAAAATTAGAGTTGTGACATTTTTTGCACAATTATATGTAAACTCAGCAATTTTGCATAGTAATGATGATAAAAATACTTGCCTGGGAACAAAGATGATGATTCTTCAAGTGTTTGTTGCACAGGCTCAGAGAGGAAAAAATTAAGAACGCAGTCACTCTGGAAATCAAGACAAAATATAGTCTTTCTTAATATCTTATATTTACTTATTGCTCATTTATATCGATATATAAAAATATTGACCCAAAATATATAATTATTTGTTAATTGATACCTATTATAAATTCCATAAAGAGGAAAATATATTAGTAAGTTTGTTCGGTCAATGCTGTAATTTTACCCTAAGTTAAAGTAACCTTTTATAAGTTTGGATGTCTGTTTATCTCACATTTCTTTAAGAAGATCGGGTGTGCTCTGCTCTGGTAATTTACTGTGTTTACATTCTTGGATTCTACAGTTACACATGAATTTAATACCTTACTTGTATGGAAAGTGTCTACCCTTAGCTGGGCCTTTGGAAAAAATTTAATCTCAGAAGGACATACACGTTCACTTAATGAGCAACCATTACTCCTCAAGGTTCAATTCTAAGAATCTAAGAACGCTCACTGAGTACCAACCACACCGGTGGCATCAGGGAATGTTAGGGGATATTTAAAATCAGTAAGATGCGCCCTGGGTGGTGTAGCTCGGTGGATTGAGTGCGGGCCTGCAAACCACATGATCGAGGTTCAATTCCCAGTCAGGGCACATGCCTGGGTTGCAGGCCGGTTCCCTGCAGGCCAGTTCCCAGCAGGGGATGCACGAAAGGCAACCGTACATTGATGTTTCTCTCCCTCTCTCCTTCCCTTCCCCTCTAAAGATAAATAAATAAAATCTTTTAAAAAATAAATAAAACCAGTAAGATGCATAAGGTGTTCCCCCTCTTCACAACACAATCTAGTGGAGGAAACAGATTATACCAAGTGCTTTAATAGAAATTCTAGTTATGTGTGCTTCTCTGTTATAACTGGAATGATCACAAGTGAACTGAGATTTAATCTGGGCCCCAAATGAGTGAACTAAGTGGTAAACCTAACAGCAGCATTTTCTTAGCTAAATTGCCACACATTTTGTTTTAAATGCACCCACCATGAGAGCTTACCTTATTATCTGAAGTCCACCACTAAATAATTGATTACTTCCACAGATTGTCATAGGCTGATGTCAAAGCTGCCTTACATGCACCCTTGCCACCCTTCTCTCTTATTCCACACAATGGCTCTTTCAAACTTCCCCAAGGAAACATGAACTTCCAAATCTGACTCCTCCAGTGATGATTTTGTCTCTACTTTATAGAAAATAAGAGGCAGATGGCAATTCCTAAATTTCCTGCCACCAAATCCATAGACTCAACAAAGCCATCTTTTTTCCTTCCTTCCCATTACAGTGAAAGGGCTTCTCTTTCCACTTGTAAGTTGAATTGTGTTCCTTCTGAATTCATATGTTGAAGTCCTAACCCACAGTACCTCAGAATGTGACTGTATTTAGGAATAAGGTAATTGCAGACATAATTAGTTATGTTAGGGTGAGCTCATACTGGTGGAGAGTGGGCCTTTCATCCAACATGACCATTGTCTATTTTAAAAGGGGAATTTTAACACAGCCGCTCATGGAGAGAAGATGATATGAAGGGAGAAGACAGCCATCTACAAGCCCTGGGGACAGGTGTCGGACAGAATCTCCTTTCACAGCCACCAGAAGAAACCAGCATTGGGGACACCTTGATTTCAGACTTCCAGTTTCCAGAACCATGAGAAAACACATCCCTGTTGATTAAGGCACGCAATTTGTGATGCTTGGTACCTTAGAAAACTAAGCTACTCTTCAATGCTGATTCCTTCATCCATCTATAACCAGGGTTCTATCCCTTCCTCCTCAAGAATGTTGCAGAATATACTAATCTATACTTTAGCTAATGTTCCCCTTCTTCCTTTATTTCTCATCAGAATCAAGTGGGGTCGATTGTCTCCACTTCAACAACTAACAAACAGTGAATCAAATCAAACAAACTATACTCACGCATAAATTATATCTTGTCAGTAATGCGGTTTTACGATCCTGTGTTATTTTCTTCTCAACACAGGCAAAGTCATGGGGAGACTGGTTAGCACTCCCACTGGTTCTGTTTCATCAGCTATTACTCACTGTATAACCTACCACATCCAAGTTTCTACCTCTAATTGTCCAGTGAAATGCTCTTACCATCATTTCTAACATTCTCTTTCTCCAAATCCAATGGGGACTTTCTTGGCTCATATGGACACTCCATTTTTAGTGAAACACTCTCTATTTGCTTATGATGTCTTCCCAGATTTTCTTCCATTTGTTCTATTGTCTCTTCTTAGACTTCCTTTCCAGATTTCCCTCCTTTTCTTTTCCTTATGATTTAAGTTCTAGAGTCCCTCACTTTCAGGCCCATCTATTTCATCAGCACATTTTTTTCTAGGTGATGTTTTGTCTTCTGGTGGTTTCTATAACGACCAACACATTTAAACCTTTATCCCAGATTGTTCTCCTGAGCCTTAGCCTTCCATATCAAGACACCTGCTTATTGGCTCCCTCGACTGTTCTGGGGACAATCAAAATCCCAAAAGTGCACCACTAAATGAATTTTCTTTCCCCTCAAAGTGCTACTTCTTCTGTATCCAAGCTCAAAATAATATCTTTTAGGACTCTCCATCTTTCCTTACCTCACATGTAAAATTAATTGCTGAGTCCTATAGATTTCACCTCATAAATGTGTCACCTACTCATTTCTTCTGGGTGGCCTGCCATCTTCCTAGTTTTAGCACTGTCACTTCTCACCTAAGTGATAGCAGGGGTTCCTAACTCTTATCCTGGTGCCCTTTAAAACAATCTATTCCCTACATAGTTGCCAAACTAATCTTTCAAAATAAAATCCGAATAGGTAACAGTTTAAAAGTTGGCAGTGGCTTTCTATGGCTCTTAAGGAAAGAAAAATCAGCTGCTTAACAAAGCTTATAAGACCTTCCTTAATTGGGATCTTGTTCATTTCGCTATCTTCACCTATTACTATTTCTCTTCTAGTACATTGTGATGAATTATGCTGTATTATATTTATTTTCTGAAGTATGTCATGTTCTTTTACCTCCATGTCTCCCTACATACTCATTTCTCCATGCCCTTATCCACCACGCACCCAGGGTTTCTCACGTGCTCTCTATTCTTGTTAGCCTGTTCGGTGTGATATTCAGACAGAGATCATCATTCATTTACTCATGCCTAATACAGTACTTTTGCTCAGGAAGTATTTGTTAACAGAAAAATTCTTTCATCAGAGATAGAACACATTGGTTTTTTTAATGCAAATATTTTTGTAGCAGTTTTTTCATTATTGTAAATCAGTTAATTACCAATTTTGATCTCTACATATAGATCTCTTTTGGTCTTGCTTAATAAGAATCTATCCTCAGGAAATATATCTATGATCATAATCAGGGAACTGACCAAATTAAGGTGGATTTTTTTAAAGTTTAAAGTTAAACTTCAGTCTGTGCAGAAGTGGTGAGGGAAATTTTGACCTTCTTTGGCTTGTTGACAACTAGTCAATTATTCTTCTTTGGCAACATTTTGCTCTAACCACCCAATGGTCATTAAACTTCAACAGTAGGCAGAATATTGCCCCAATTAGTGTCTGAAATGTCACCACTAGCTAATTATTCTCTTGTGTTTACACTGTAATAGCCATGAAATCCTTACTTGTAATTTCGGGTGTGGGTAACATACAAAATACTACTTCTTCAATGTAACAATATTGTTTTTATTCTAGAGGAGAAACATGGTTCAGGGACAATATAGAGATGAATCAATAAAAGAAATGAACAGGGTAGAAAGAGTAATAATGCTGGATCTCGAAATAATTGATTTAAAATTTTTCTCAGACTGGGCTTTACTTTCGTGCATGCACCCTATAGCTCTCCAGCACACTGCACCACTGGATAGGTGCAGAATCATAGAAATGTTAGTGCTACAGTTGCTCTAATAACCTAACCAGTGTTCTCATTGGGGTTTGTATTGAACCCAAGTTGTGGCTACATTTAATTGTGTAGGTTGTATAATGAGCAATTCTAGGGGTGCAATTTTTACATTGACTGGCTACAAATATAATTCCGGCTTCCCATATGTAGGGCTGCCAGTTTTAACAAATAAAACCAGCAGGTGCACTTGCAATATTTGCAACATACTTGAACAAAAAATTATTTATCTCAAATTCAGATTTAACCGGGTAATCTGCATTTTATCTAGCTACCCTACCATATAAGTTGTTTAGAAAACATGTGGGCATACTTTTGGTTGGGTCAGTGACTGATGGGCACAGCTGGCAATTAATAGGTAAGGCCACTTATCCTAAATGTCCTAAAGTACCTAGGAGATTCTTATACTGTGAAGAATGTTGCTTTTCTGCTTAATTCTTCTAATGGTTGTAGTTTCCCAGGGGAAAAAAACTCTAAATTTAACCACTTTATTCTAGATAGGAGAAAATTGAACACCAGGTAGCATAAGTGGTTGGCTAGTATGTTCAGGAAGCCAGGCCCACCTGGGTTACTACTGCTGACGGCCTATGGATGTGAAGAGGCAATGTGAGGAATAGGTAGGAGGGGTGGTAGAAGCCATGAGAGGTGGCTTCTTGGGGGCCCTAGAATATGCTGGTCTTCTGCATGAGCTTAAAGCTACTGTGGCCTACTGAAGAATTTTAAGCAGAAAAGCATCATAACCAGATTTTTTTCCCTAGAAGGATGAAAGTACATTATTGTGGAGGAAAAACAGAGTAGCAGCCATGCTTGGAGAATGTTATCAGCAAAATCCCTCATATGCTCAATATACTGTATTTTCTGAACATTCCATTCTGCTTTCTTTTTAAGTCTCTACAATGATGGTTATACTTCTCTCCAGTCCCTTTTATAGTCCTAGATCTGGTGGTGGGGTAAGCATGCTGCTTGCATCTGTCTCCTTGCTTTTCTTCTCTTTTTTTAAAGTATATTTTATTGATTATGCTATTACAGTTCCCCCAATTTTTGTCTCCCCTTTCTCCTCTCTCCGCCCTGCACCACCCCACCCTCCAGCATCCCCCCACCTTAGTTCATGTTCATGGGTTG